ATATATATAACTCTAACACTCAAGTAGTCTACAACTTGAAAAAATGTACAGGCTAAATTCAAGGATATAATCAGATGTCCAAAGCCAGTTGACTGCTAACTGAAAGGGGTCAACAAGAAAAAGGGATTGAAGTCATACTGTAGTCAGAAGCAGGCAAGGGGAAAGATTGACTAGATAGGACCTTCTCCACTACAAAAGACATGAGTACATTTTTTAAGTGTCACAACTCTGGCACACATTAATAACATCTGATTCAGGGGGAAAAAAAGCCCAATCAATAACTTTACTCCACTTATAAGCATCTTTATGTACTCAGGCAGTTCTATAAACAGCTGTGATTTGTTATTTGTAAGCCCTAAGAGTTAGGTGCATTTCAGTTGAGTTGTGCAAGCCCTGAAAGGGTACAAGAATTCAGGGCATCCTTGGTTAGTTGAGGTTCTTTAAAACCAGCAGTTTTGGTTCTGGCAGTGAAGTTGAGATAAAGGTTCCCTGAGTAGGATACCTGCCAGTCTTTCATGAAAGCTGACCTATCCCTGAGGCCAGACTGGCTCCAACTTTTAGTATACCCTTTCCTTTTGACCAAGCAAGCTGTTAAAGATCTTCTTCCCTTATCAGTCATTGAATCCTAAACTATTAATATCAAGTCAGGAAATCACAAGGCCTCTAAGGACTACTGAGTTAGTTTCAAACAAAAAAAAAAGTCTAATAAGTAAATGACTGCTTTTTAAAGAGGGCACCTAGTTGCTGAGTCAGAAAGACCATGATTCCAAAAACCACGAAATATGCATCTAGGCAAAAGCTACTTCATTGTTGGTTCCCACTGACTAAAAATGTAAGTCAGAGACGCTTGAATTGAATGTTGTATTGAATGGATGTGGGAGCACCTTTAAAGTTGCAAAGAGCTGAAAGTTTCTCTTGACTGTGGGAGAGACTGCACATTGTACATTCAACTATGTGGTCCCAAGAAATGACAAAAAGGACCCGCAATTTCATACGCTGAATTGATTTAAAGGACCACATTGGCAATGTAACTTGTGTTTTGTCTTCCACTGTGAGCCTTGTCCAAGTCTCATCCATTGAAGCTGTGCCTCTGTACCCTTGAGTCTTGGTAGAGCAGTGCCCTTTGTGATTAAGGGAAACATTTTTCTTTCTTTTCAGGATAACTATGTAAACACCCTTGAAGGTATAGGAAAAGCACTTGTCACAGAGCCTGCAAATCTGGGCGACCCATGGGGAATGGTTTTCTGTCATTAAGGATCTTTTATATGTAGTAGATGTAAGGAACCTCTGAAATAATGATGAGTAAGACATTTTCTTTCTTTCTTTTTTGGTACCGGGGATTGAACTCAGGCCCTAGAGCTTGCAGGCAGGTGGTGGAGCTACTAATCCAAATCCCCAGCCCTAGACATTTTCTTGATTCATGAGCCCACATTAAATTATACTGTCTAGAAAAACCTTGAGCAACAATTTTAACAATCCTAGATCTCAATCATTGGAGAGAAGTTGTGCTACTTTTTTGTAAAATATTTATAATGTTTATTTAGTAAATACCTAAAATGACATGCAAGTGATCCTATGTGGCGTAGTCATCTACGTTGGCCATATTAGATACCATGAAAAACTGTGTATCTATGCATATATATTAGCATCTGTTTTCTAATAGCTGTATTTTCTAGTCTCTGAAAGTTGAGATACAGCAGAATAACTTCTTCTGTGGTCAAAAGCCAAATATCTGTATATCTGATCAAATGTTCAGCTATGAACATACAATTATAAGTGTATCCAAGTTAATTTTCAACATATAAGCAAAAATGGTAGTAGTTCTCTAGTACCAGAATGCTTTTTAGAGCTAAAGAATATCCAAATGAAGCCGGGTGTGGTGTCGCACTCCTATAACCCCAGCACTCTGGAGGCTGACACAGGAGGATCACTGTGAGTTAGAGACCAGAGACCAGGCTGGGCTACATAGTGAGTTCCAGGTCAGTCTCAACTGAATAGTGAGACCCTGTCTCAAAAAAAAAAAAAAAAAAAAA